CTCCTTCCACTTTGGATTAAGTAGGATACAAGGTAAATTAGCCTTTCTAGCTTTGGTCTAGATGAAGGTTAATTCTGAATTCAAATCCGTGAAGAAAATAAACCGTTTGGCTATCTTTCCCAAGAAGACATGTTAATTCACAAATAGGAAAGGAAAAATCAATCTGTGGAGAACAATGGCTGTCTATATCCTGATGACATTAGGGAAAGTATTTAGCGTTTAACGTATTTGCAATTTAAAAAAAGTTAAAAATGAACTTTCTTAAAAATAAAATGAGTACAGGGTTTCAATTTACAAGACTGTCACTTTGTACCGTATATACTCGTGTAACGCACGACCGCCAAATTTTCACTTATAAAAATGATTTTATCACCTATCTCGTGTATCTCGAAAGAGAATGATAAAAGCATCGTTAGTAACGTTACACCCGTTGGGGAAAAGCGTACATCCATAAACAACCGAAGGAGAAACATCTAAACATCTTATAAACGTAAAAAATGGAAAAGTTGCATATTCGCTATGTTTGTATTTTATAATACGATACTAATATGTGAATATTACATACATTATTATTGGATACAGTTAAGTAAAACATGAGTTGTATCAAAATCATATTTATTTTAAATACAGCTGTACAATGGATATATAGTTTGACCAACGGCGAATGCTTGGGCCAGCAGTACAATCACTAATTTTATATCACGTATATAAACCGATCCCTGTTAAAGTTCGCTTCAAAATTTGGTCTTCAAAAGTCGCATGATACACGAGTATATACGGTATATATATATATATATATATATATATATATATATATATATATATATATATATATATATATATATATATATATATATTAAGACACTAAATTACCGTCTTGAATTATTTAATTTTCAAATTTAGAGTTTTTTTTCCCCTTGGCAAAGAGTTGCTTCCCTTACATCAAGGACTCTATTCTTAAAAATTATGAGTTGTTTCCCTTGATTTTTATGGTCACTTCAATATATAGAATAAAGCAAACAATGCAAAATAATAAAAACTGTATTGCGCCAGTAATTCTAGTAGAGAAGATTTCTTTTTTCCCACAGCATAAGTCATTTGGAAGGTGTCGGTGTCAATAACCCAATAACCATATCCAATTACTTCTCTATTGATACTCTTTCATTATGTTGTTTCGTTTTATTCACAAAATGGAGGCTTTTTGTTTGGTTTCTCTTTTCGCAATTTTACCTCCCAAAATAAACAATTTATTTAAAAATGATCAGAAGGCATAAAGAATTGTGGTAATGCCAATTCGGATATACCAAATAGAAGACATAAAGTGCTTCTTCGGATTCATGACGTCCAACCCGTCAGAAATATCTAAACAATCACTTGCATATAACCGTGTTTCTTAGATCAATGATTATAAATTAATTCGAACGAATGAAGCCTTACTTATTATAAAAACTGTGTCAGTGTTGTGTGTGTGTGTGTGTGTGTGTGTGTGTGTGTGTGTGTGTGTGTGTGTGTGTGTGTGTGTGTGTACATTTATATATTGGATCGGATTTCCAACATTTTTCAACCGATTTCAACAAAACTTCACAGGACTGCGTAAAATTACCGTGCGGTGGTTCTGACAGCGCCAAAAATTGGGAAAACACAATTGTTTTTGCATGGAATCAATTTGAAAGCACGATAAAACACTATTCTGTCGCCAGAATGAAAGGGCGACAACTCATATCGAGTTATACTTATAAAACCCAGGTTGTTTGTGTGTGTGTGTGTGTGTGTGTGTGTGTGTGTGTGTGTGTGTGTGTGTGTGTGTTCGTTTATATATGGGATCAGATTTCCTACATTTTTCAACCGATTTCAACAAAACTTCGCTTTTTTTGCAGGTAGTGTTTCTTATTGTCTTGCACATTTTTTCTTTATTTTTACATTCAGAATGCTTTAAAAATTCCTTTTACAAGACAATTATTTATAATAAAATTCTATTCAATCGATAGACTCATAACGATTGAAAACAATGTTTTTGTTTGCGTTTGGGTTTGACCAATTCGTAAAAAAAAAAAAACTAATTAAGACATGCGTGTCCGTCAACCTTAAACAATAATCTTTGTCAATTTTATTTTTCAGTCTTTATGATGGTCGATACTTGATCTATCTCTTACTGTTATATCCCCGGGCAACACCGGGCTCTACTGCTAGTATTTTATAAATTTCAACAAACCGTAAGGCTAACTAAATAGTTAGGCCCAATGAATGCTGAATGTTTCCTTATAAGGAAACAGCTAATAGTAACATTACCATGAAATGAAAATCTGAAAGTTCACAAAATTATATGCTGTAATTATAAAGATTTACAATAACCTAATTTTTAACTTAAATTGATCTTCGTTATATATGTATATGAAAAAGCATAGTTTCTGTAGTGTTCGGTCTTTGGTTTCAAGCATCCGCCGGTGGTTCTGGAACATGACAAGAAGCCCATACGAAAAAAAAGTAACTGACGAGATCGTCTTTTTAGTATAGGTTTGTTCACTGTACCGTGCGGAACAATTTTACTCTCTAGAATTTATCTTACATATCTATAAGTCTACCATTCGTCTATGCTTAGAATATTGCTGCCAAATTTGGTCCCGTGCCTCTACTATTTACCGTTGATAAACTCCAAAGAAGAATCAGCAATATTATTTGACCTGATCTGACGGGTCGGCTTCAGTCACTTTTCTATTGCCGTAAAGTTGCATCTCATTGTCTTTTCTATAAATACTTTCATGGTAATTGTTCGGATGAGCTCGTCATTATCGTACGCAGACTTTATAAATTTAAGCGCGGTCCGAGATTGGCGTCAAGATCTCATCAATTTACAGTTCAGCTGGCAAGATGTAGCCGTAAGTTCTATGCTAACAGTTTCTTTTATCGCTCTTCTCGCTTGTGAAACTCCTTTCCGGCTCCATATTTTCCAGCCAACTTTAATCTGCAAAAATTTAAATGATTTAAATGCAATTCCAATTGCTATCTATTGTCCTCCTGATTACTCTTTTCTCTTTCTGCTCATTATTAACGTTTCTGTTCCTAATTCTTCCACACCCTGGCTTTTCTTTTATGTGCCTTGTTCTTTCAGGGCGTGGGTAATCATGGCTCTTCACAACTTCTTATCATTTTAGATCCTAACTATGTTTATCTTTTTACTATAACTCCTACTCGATTTTCTGTCATCCATTTACACAAAATGCTTAGATTGGCGCCTTTAATGTGAACTGTGAGTGTTAAATTCTCTAAGTCATCTTTCCTCATTATTCTGATTGTAAGCAGGTGTCCTTTTTGTTTTTATTTTGTTTCAACCTCCCCGTTGCTCTCATGTTCACATCATCCTTCTGTAGAACTACATCTCTGTCGCTTCTTCATCTATGAGGAAATTGTCCAGAATTAACTGCCATTTAGGAGAAATCATATTACATAGCGGTTCAACATTCTTTTCTTTGTTTCTAACGAAATCTTCCTATTTCTCAATAATTTGATTGGAGCGGTTCAAAGTTTCAAGGGAAGTAACTTTGAAATTATTAGAAAGTTCTGTCCCTTTAATTATGAAAGATTGAAGTTCAAGTTTTGGTTGAGAATTTTCTTTCAGAGAGCTAACTTAACGGTCGTAGAGGAAAAACGACTTAAAAATTGCGAGGAAAATCAACAAGAATCAGATGAACGTCAAAAATGAACGCTGTAATCTCTCACGTGAAATTTATTGTGAAATACAATCTAGTCTTGAAGATCATTGATACCGTAGTGTGTCTGTCCTCACTGGGTGTCCTAAAATTGAAACTTTATAATAACTGAGTTAATTCCGATATTTTCCCATGTGTAAATATCTTGTTTTGGAGTAATGGTAAACAAGCTAATCTCGTAAACTGTTATAAGTTTGATCTTCGCGATGTCTCCCATAACGGTGACTGTATACATGTCTATACCTGGGCACTCTGTTATGATGTAATGGTTAAGAAGTTAGTCTCACAGACTCTTATTATTGTAATGAGTTGCATTATCACGGGTGATTTATTCTTGTGACATAGCGACAGGTTAAGCTAAGCTACTTAATTAAGGGAACACCTCATTGACGAAGTAGTCTAGCAATTGTAGTAATTGTTCCATATTCATAAAGTACTACAATAATATGGCCTTGTTTCAGACAAAACTGCGTGCAATATATGATTGATGAAGCCAATTATTTGTTTAGTTATTAATAATTAAAATAATCTACTGGCCACCATTAACAATGACCATTGGCATAAATCATATATTTGAAGTAAAAAAAAAATACTGAGCAATACGATTGACAGGATAGAATTGTCGACAAAAATGTACAGAATATATTTTTTATTGTTACACGCATTTCGATTTCTATTCCCTTCATTAGATTTAATTTTTAAATTAAAATGCCACAGCACAATACAGAATTTTAACGGGAAATATGTCTAGATTTTTAGAAGAAGATAATTCAATAATTAAAAAAGAAGAAGAAGAAGAAGAAGAAGAAGAAGAAGAAGAAGAAGAAGAAGAATGAAGCTGAGGAGGAATGAAGCTGAGGAGGAGGTGGAGAAGAAGGTGCAAACGAAGGAGGAGAGAAGAAGGAAGAGGAGGAGAAAAGCAACAACAAGTTGGCACAACATACGTTTGGTATAATTGTACAAAATTATTTTTACATCCTCAATATTCCCATTTCTAATTTAACTCTCCTTTAGCAATCCAGAATCCTCCATTAATAGCAAATTTGTATTGTGTTGATTGAGGGATTGTTTGTAGGTTATTTAAAGCCAGATATTTTTTAGATAATGATGGTTTTAGTGATACAAGTCTTACTAATTAACCCATATCTGGGAGGAGAAGAGGAGAATTAAATGCTTTTCCCAAGGATCATTTATGCATAAGTGAATATAATGAAACTAACGAGAACTGGAACTCGGTTCTCCGATTTTCAATTTCGAACCATTATCCATTATTACACCACCGGCACATCAAAGCTTACAACACCTGACATTGCCAAGCGTTCACCCATCTAGGTACTGGCCAGTCTCGACTTTGCTTAACTTCAGTGATCGTACGGGAACTAATGTTTCAACGTGATGTGGCCTTAAGTTCAATTTGTTTGGTATGTCCACCCGGTTGATGATGGGGAAGCAATTAAAATTACATTTTTTTTTATAACTGATCGTTATTTGACAAATGTTTGGAAATTTAGAACTTATTATCCATAACGAGATGTTCCATTGCACGTTCGTGAAAATAACAAGATGTCTCACCAATGTAATTAATTTTGCAGTTACACAATTTCATTCTGTAGTACGCGTTCTATTTTTTCTACATACAACGTGTGAAAGCACGTGCGATACTCTGCCTTCGTCAGCCGTCAACCAGGGGAGGTAACACAGTTTCGGTGTCTAAGGCGGTACTGCCACCCCTGGCACCACCAAAATCTTTTACCGCCGGACAGGGTATTGTTTTTTTTTTTTTTTTTTTTGTGTGTAGACGTGTCAGTCTCTTCAACGTTGCCTTAAAAGCGTCTGATTTTGATTGTTAACCAATACATAATGCACTCGTAGCGACCGTTATCAATGTCGTAGAATGGAAGGTAAACAGACGTGTGTTCATGTCGGAAGTAGCGCTGTGTTGCGAGTCTGGTTTTAATTAACTTTCTTTATTTTGGATCTTGACCAGATCCAACACTATGCCTGTTGATCTGTGTATGTAAATTTGAATGTACTAACTCGCAAAAATTTTCCCTTTTACAGGTTCAAAAATTACAAATTTATCAGTGACTTTCAGATTTTACTTATTGGCAGTTTGAGAGTTTTACTCTTCAGATATTAAAACAAAAGTTTTATCGAATGTGGTAATTTCTATCGGAAGGTCGGGGATAAAGTGGCATGGTTATTTTCATTCGTACTAATATCTTTACCTTTGTTGTTATTATCACAACGTTTCGGCTGTTCTACTTTTCGGTCTACTTCAGGTGTCTGTAGATTCAGGTAACAATCGGTGAATTTGGAACTGAACTCTTTATTTAATCTATGCAGAGTAGATCGTTCTCTTTCTGCTGTCTATGTCTAGGGATATCTCGAATAATTCATTTGAGTATTGCTCGGTTATGGCTCAACTTGTTTCCCCTTTGTTTAGGTCTGTACTACCCGGATCAAGTATTAAACTCACAATTACTATGCTAACAAATTCACGAATGAATAAGCGCTTTTATTTTTCTTTTACTAAACATCACTTAATAAAGGACACGAGAGCCACTCAAAGCAGAATGCTACAATCGAAATGGTATTGATGAGTGATGATGTGGTAGAAAGTGGAGATTATTAAGATAAGGAGGATTTGATTGATTGACTTGAAGGAGTCAAGATTAAATTGTTCAAGGGAGTACCCTGTCGGGAATCTGTTCTACAGAACACTAGGCTATTGCTTCGTGAGACAAGTACTAATCAAAATAATATTATTATTCTGAAATTTCATAGCCACATCAGATTTCTGATCATTGTTTAAGTCTGAAGTAAAGCAAAAACCCCTAAATTACCAGCACCCTTCTTAGTATTACCGCAGACCCCAACGAGACCGTCTTTTAGATAGTTTCATGCTTTCGTCGAATTTAAAACTATTTCACTTTCGATTCTAGGGTTTCTAGCGCAGTTCAAAGTGGTATATTTACTATGGCGATTTTCTAAGCGTGGCTTAGATGTGGCACAAGGCCAAGAGAGCACCGAGTGAAGATCGAACTCACTACTCAGTCGTAATTGTTTTAGCCATTACATCACGTCCAGGTACCCTAATGATTTTCTTAGCATAGCTTAGATGTGGCACAAGGCCTAGAGAGCACCGAGTGAAGATCGAACTCACTACTCAGTCGTAATTGTTTTAGCCATTACATCACGTCCAGGTACCCGAATGATTTTCTTAGCATAGCTTAGATGTGGCACAAGGCCTAGAGAGCACCGAGTGAAGATCGAACTCACTACTCAGTCGTAATTGTTTTAGCCATTACATCACGTCCAGGTACCCTAATGATTTTCTTAGCATAGCTTAGATGTGGCACAAGGCCTAGAAAGCACCGAGTGAAGATCGAACTCACTACTCAGTCGTAATTGTTTTAGCCATTGCATCACGTCCAGGTACCTGAATGATTTTCTTAGCATAGCTTAGATGTGGCACAAGGCCTAGAGAGCACCGAGTGAAGATCGAACTCACTACTCAGTCGTAATTGTTTTAGCCATTACATCACGTCCAGGTACCCGAATGATTTTCTTAGCATAGCTTAGATGTGGCACAAGGCCTAGAAAGCACCGAGTGAAGATCGAACTCACTACTCAGTCGTAATTGTTTTAGCCATTGCATCACGTCCAGGTACCCGAATGATTTTCTTAGCATAGCTTAGATGTGGCACAAGGCCTAGAGAGCACCGAGTGAAGATCGAACTCACTACTCAGTCGTAATTGTTTTAGCCATTACATCACGTCCAGGTACCCTAATGATTTTCTTAGCATAGCTTAGATGTGGTTCAAGGCCAGAATTTTGGGGCACCTAGTGAGGATCGAATTCGCTATTCACTCGCAATTGATCTACTGAGACAAGTTTGCTAACCATTACACCTTGTCGAAGTGCCCAATGATATTTATTAAGTGAATCACTCTAAACATATTTCACTGTTTTCCCATATCCATTAAAGTACCTGTTGGGACTTAAACTGAACCCAAAACTCAAGTGTAACTCGTAGATACGATCCATCGCTAAAGATGCTGGAAACAATGATCGATTCCTTGTGCCGTTTGAGTAAGTACCTGACTCTTTCTGTTATCCTCTACCTTTACAAGGGTCAAATCGGGCCGAAAATACCATGGAGTACTGCCACCATGTATGGGTAGAAGCTGCCTAGTCTTCACTTTCCAGTCACCACGTCCCTGTGGGTGACAAATTATTTTCCAACCTACAACCCCTTTCTAACGAACGAAACATCACAAGCTTCTCGTTACTATATCGCTCTTTTCATATAAGGTGTTCAGAAGAACTACGTTCCTTAATTCCACCAATTCTAAACTAAACAAGACCCGCCTTGCCCCACGCATATTGCAGCGAACCACCTTCATTCTCTTCGTATTCCACGGGTGAGAAGTAAGTTCCACTCAAGCAGCGTCTTCAGACGAACCGCCGCTTTGTGAAACGGCCTCCCAAGGGGATACTTCCGCGATCACTGCAATTTTAACCTCTTCAAGTCTACGGTTAATCATTATCTTCCCACATATACGCATAAACTGTGCCTCTTACTCTGTAACTGTCAACCTCGAGTGATTCTCGGGCCTTGTACAGGATGAACATCATTGTAAAAAAGATATCCCAATCAATCCCCTGATATTTTATGTTCTTTCTTTTCTTTATTCTCCTCAATTTTCAGACTATGAACATCTTGTATAGTTACGTTTAACATAGATTATAGTGGTAAAAGTTTTTAAGCTTTTCATTGCTTCTTCCTAAGTTTTTCTAACTTAAAAGTGTCTTGTAGAATTGGAGTCGATAAAAAATTAATGCCCCAACATTTTCAATCTACCAATCTGAGGTCCCAATTTCGACCTGAAAACCTAAAATCCACTGTGACAAATGGAAATTCCTCAACAGTAGTTGAAAATTATTGATCTGACAGGAAGCCTTTTTCCCTGTGTAAATCGCAGAACATCATTTGATCTTTATTTTTAAAACAATAATTTGTTTATATAGTCGAACACAAGTCGCTGTCTATCATCGCCTCTTTTTTGACATATGTTTTTTTTTTCCTTTTTGGATCAACTTGTTGCCTTCATTTATTCTTTGCAATGTCATCTTTTTCTCCTCAAAGTTTTGCATTTGATATAATTTGGTGCTGATGCCTTTTTAAGGATTCAATAAGAGATTCCTTTTTTCTTTTGAGGTGCCTTCTTCGTCTTGCGATATTTTCAATTTGCTTTTAAATTCTTTGCGGAATGTTAATACATTTTTGTTATTTTGTTATGTTTTCCTTTCCTCATTAGGAGGAAAGGAAAAAGAACTTTTCGACCTGCTTTCCAGCAGGTTTGATGATATTTCAGTGGCTCTTTACTGCGTATTTGATTGTTATCATAACAGTTTACGCTGATTGCCATATATAAAAATGAGATTTTGTTTCGCCCTTACAATTATTAGGTGTATTTTTCCTATAAGAAAACAAAAAAAGGACAGCCTAAGATGCGAGCTACGAATTGGAGATACCAAAATTACGTATGTATATCTGGAAAATATTATTACAAATGATGGAAAATGTGACACTGAAATCTGAACGCGCATTGAAATAGTAAAATATGCTTTCCAAAAACTAAACAAAGTATTAAGAAACAGGAAATTTTCCTTGAAAACAAAGATAAGGGTGTTTAAGAGTTATGTAACAGTGAAGGTAGGACAATTTCCTCACAGATGAAGAAGTCATTTGAGGTAACAGAAATGTGGTAGGAGAGAAGGTTTCTGAGAATACCATGGACGGAACATGTGAGTAATTAAGGAGCTTTAAGGAAATTGGGAGCATAAAGGAAGCTTATGCATATTATAGAAAAGAGACAGCTGAAATTCCTGTGACACATAACGAGGATATCGAAGGTAAGAAGGGCAAAGGGAAACATCATACGAGTTTGTGAGCATCATTCTTAGCGAGTTTGTGTAAATGCGTGGTAGAACATGGATGGGATAATAGGTAGACAAATATTTCTTGGAAATATAAAAGAATAGGAAGTTGTGAACAGCTATAATATGCCACATCCTAAAAGGACACGGTACATAAAAAAAAACGCTTTGGGCTTTCAATGAGTCGGGCCGCAGGCTTCATAATCACCTTGGTATAGTCCGCTATTGTTATAAAAAAAGAGACTTTCTTTGTCATGCAATATATCGAATTATTTCCCTTGCACTTGTGACATTAATATTATAGATTACCGGCAAAAATATGCAAATACATTTGTTGCATTATGTAGTAGTTTTATTATTAATAATAATAATATATTTGCCAATTCTATTCTAGTATCTGGATATTTTAATAGCAAGTCTCCTCAAATCTACATCAGCTTTTTGCATATACTAAAA